ACCATGCCTCCCTAGTGGGCTGGGCTGTGTCTGGTGCTGCTCTGCTTCATCGACCTCTTGTAGACCTCATGTGTTGCCTGTCTTCACTCTTACTCTGGACTTTATCTGTGTGTGTGTGTGTGTGTGTGTGTGTGTGTGTATGTGTATGTGTGTGTGTGTTTGAGACAGGGTCTCCCTGTAGCCCCAGCTGTCCTGGAACTCACTACATAGCCCGGGCTGGCCTTGACCCCACAGAGCCCCCCCTGCCTCTGCCTCCCGAGTGCTGGGATTAAAGGCGTGGACTTCTTTTTCTGCCTTCTTTCATATATGAATCACTTGCAAGGAATTTTTAGAAAGCCCAGGATGCAAGGCTGGAGAGCTGGCTCAGTGGTTAAGAATACGTACTGCTCTTGTAGAGGACTGAAATTTGGTTTCCAGTGCTCACACTGGGCATCTCACACCACACGAAATTCCAGCTCCAGGGGTTCTAATGCCCTCTTCTGGATTCTGTGGGCACTGTACTCACATGTGCACATATCCACACACAGACACCCCCCCATAATTAAAAATAGAATAAATCTTAAATAAGAAAGTCTAGAATGGAGCTGAGGTTGCAGATCTATAAGCCAGGGTGATATTCACAATCTGGTCTCGTATACCCTTGGTGACCTGCCAGCTTGGAAACCCAGTGGATCCATGCTGAGAGGAGTGAACTGAGGTTGTTAGTGGCAGCTGGACAGAGGTGCAGCACCACACTGTTGCCTGTAATAGCCTGAGGACTTCCCTTGATCCTTTTATAAATTTTATTTTTATTATTTTTATTTTATGTGTATGTGTGTATTGCCTGCATATATGTGAATGCACCAATGTCATGCAATGCCCATGGAAGTCAGAAGAGGGCATTGGATCCCCTGGAACTGGAGTTACAAACAGTTGTTAGCTGCCATGTGGGTGCTGAAGGTTGAACCCAGGTCCTCTGCAAAAGCAGCCAGTGCTCTTAACTGCTGAGCCATCTCTCCAGCCCCCTTGATCTTTTTAAAAATATCTTAGTTTATTAGTATTTATCAAAAAATAAAATATACAGAAATATTCAAACAATGATAAACAATTTAAAATTCAGATTTCCTTCAAGATAACAGCCCCTCGTGGAATCACATGTGAAGAGCATTAAAAAGGGCTTCCACAAAGCATAATATATATATATAAAATCATAAGTACGCTTTATTTAAAAATAAAGGTATTTAAAAATTACCCTTTCTTATTCTTCTTTCAAAACATTATAATATATTTACATGCATTAACTTACATATGTACATGTATACATTTTAGGCTAGAATCCATATATGAGGGAGAACATGCAATTTTTTCTTTCTGAGATTAAGTGTCCTCAATTAATATTATACCTTCTAGGTCCGTCCATTTTCCTGCAAATACTGTAATTTCATCTTTCCTTAGAGCTGAATGGCATTCCATTTTATAAAGTATGTATGAGATTTTCATTATCCATTTATCTGTTGATAGGCAATTAGGTGGGTTCCATTTCCTTGCTGTAGTGAATAGAGTAGCAATAAACATGGGTGTGTCGATAACTCTGTGGTCAGGTATGGAATTCTCTGGGTATATGCCCAGGAGGGAGACAGCTGGATCAAATGGTAATTCTATTTTAAATTTTTTGAGGAACCTCCAAACTGATTTCCATAATGGCTGTACTAATTTGCACTCCCACCTACAGTGAATACGGATTTCTCTTTCTCCACATCCTCTCCAGCATTTGTCAGATTTCTTGATGACAGCCATTCGACCTGAGTAAGGTGGTATCTCCAAGTACTTTTTATTTGCATTTCCTTGATGACTAGGGATGCTAAACACTTTTAAAAACAGTTGTTGGCCATTTGTATTTATTTTTTTGAAACTGTATTCAATTCATTAGCCCATTTGTTAAGTTTCTTAGTATTTAATCTCTGCAGATCTTTGTAAATTCTGGATATCAGCCTCTTGTCTGAAGTATAGCTGGTAGATTTTCTCCCATTCTGTGGGCTGTCTGTATGCTCTACTAATAGATTCCTTTGCTGTGCAGAAACTTTTTAATTTCACGTAACCCCATCAGTTGACACTTGGGACTAGCTGCTGTGCTGTCAAAATTCTGTTCAGAAAGTTCTTGCCTACCCTATATCCTGAAGATTATTTCCTATGTTTTCATCTGAAAATTTCAGTGTTTCAGATTTTAAATTGAAGTCTTTGATCCATTTCAAACTGATTTTAGTACAAGCTGAAAGATATGAATCTGATCATTCTTCTGCAGGTATCCAGTGTTGCCAGCATCATCGGTTGAATAGGCTATCTTTTTACCTTTTTTCCAATGTATGTTTTTGCCTCCTTTGTCAAAAATTCTGTGGGCATAGGTCTGTCAGTTTATTTCTGGTTGCTGTATTCTGTTCCATTGGTCTCCATCTTTTGTCCTTTTTTTACTTAGCTTTTTTAAAAAAATTTTTATGAAACAGTATTTATGTAGCCCTGGCTGGTCTGGAACTTTCTCTGTAGATCAGGTGGGCCTGGAACTCTCTGAGTGCAGGGATTAAAGGTGTGTACCACCATACCCAGATGCCTCAGTCTTTTTTTATTTTTCTAAAAAAATGTATTTGTATGAGTGTTTTGCCTGCATACATGTAAATGCATCCATGTGCACAATGCCCACCGAGGCCAGAAGAAGGCATCAGACCCCCTGGAACTGGAATTACCAATGGCCATTACCATGTGGGTGCTGAGAACTGAACTCTGGTCCTCTGCAAGATTAGCCTGGACCACTGAGCCATCTCTCTAACCCCCATCTTTTAAGAGACCTCAACTCAGGTCAAGCCAGATTCCTGACTTCACCACAAAAAAGAATTTCAGGATAAGCCACCATGAAGCAGATTTGGAGTTATTAAAAAAAGGAGATTTTTTAAATATAGATTTTAAGCACAAGGGGGGAGAGAGAGAGAGAGAGAGAGAGAGAGAGAGAGAGAGAGAGAGTTGGTGGAGGGTGGTAAACCATGACCAAGATCGGGGTTTGTGGGCTTCTTAAAGAGGAGTCACACCTCTTTGTCTTCATAACAGTCACATAGATGGGACTTTGGTGATATTTTTTAAATTTATAGCGGAGGATGTGTGCGCAGAGTGTATGTGTGTGTGTGTGTGTGTGTGTGTGCGTGTGTGTGTGTGTGTCTAGATAGGAGGACAACTTTTGGGAGTCATTTCTGTCCTTCTACTATGTAGGTCTCAGGGACCAAACTCAGGTTGTCAGCCTTGATGGCAAGTGCCTTAACCTACTGAGCCCTCTCTTTCAAAGGGTTGTCAAGGAATTTAATGAGATCATAGTGGAGGGGAAGTTTTGAGATGTACCTGACAGGACTACAATTGATAAGGCTTAGATCATAAGGATGCAGGAAGTTAGGAGATGTTCACTATAAACAAAGTTAATAATCTTGTTTAAAAGATTACCAGAAAACATCTGGCAGGAGATTTCAACCAGATTCTGGAGTAAGGGGTTCCTTGATTTTCCCTGCTTCCTCTCCTGCCTCAAGGTAGTTCAAGGTAAAGCATAAAGTATTTGCAGCTGAGTCCTGATGCCCAACAGTCACATTTCAAGGACTCTAACGCAGTGGAATAAACAAAGTTAATAATCTTGTTTAAAAGATTACCAGAAAACATCTGGCAGGAGATTTCAACCAGATTCTGGAGTAAGGGGTTCCTTGATTTTCCCTGCTTCCTCTCCTGCCTCAAGGTAGTTCAAGGTAAAGCATAAAGCATTTGCAGCTGAGTCCTGATGCCCAACAGTCACATTTCAAGGATTCTAACGCAGTGGGAAGTGGGCTCTCTCCTTCCTAGGTTAGTAATAGTAAGGAGTAGCCCACAACCTAGGTTCAGATGACCTTCATTTGCATCAGATGACCTGGTCACTGGATCATTTGGAGTTGTGCAGACCCAGAGTGCCCGCGTGGATTTCCTTTGGACCGTCCTGAAATCCTTATGTCCCATTCTACTGTTACTCATGCTTCTCTTTCAGTCACAGGTTGGTAACAGGCTCAGGGACAGCCCTCTGCCATTTGGGCAGATGGTGTTGTAACTTACACCCCTCTTAACTTTTTTGTAGCATATTCTTGTTTTCCAGTGCCCTGCCTTGAGGAGCAGCCACTGCAGATGCAGTTATGATGTCCCTCTCCCCCGAGTGGATCTGCAGCATTTGCCTGCAAGTGGACCCTCCCCCCCACCTCCATTGTGCTGGGTGCATAAGCCACTCTTCTGCTGTCTCCACTGGGGACTCTTGGTGGAGTCCACCTGGCCTCCAGAACAAACCGGCCACAGTGGCCCAGTTTGTTGAAACACACAGAGTACCCCTATGGCCGAAGCAGGTAGAAGGAAAAAGAACCTCTGGCCTGATAAGATAGCTCAGTGAGTAAAGGCACTTGCTGCCAAACCTAATGACCTGAGTTCAATTCCCAGGACTCACATGGTAGAAGGAAAGAAACAGCCCCACAAGTTATCCTCTAATCTCCACATGCAGACTGTAGTAAGTGCCTTCCCAAAAATCTCCACATGCAGACTGTAGTAAGTGCCTTCCCAAAGATGAGGGGTGGGAGGAGAGAGAATAAATATATTAAAGTATAGTTTTAGAAAATTTAAAGCTTTTCTGGCTATTCCCCTTGTGTGACTCACTCCGTGATAGGAATGGAATGAGGGATGTGTGTTAAGAGAGACATAGGGAATGAACAAGGATGTTTGAGAGAGACAAAATGATTGAAGGGTGCGTGTTAGGAGAGCTCTTGTTTTAGATCACACAAGGAAATCATTCAGAACAGTCATGCGCACAAAGCTGGACAGACATGGGTACCACTGTCCCTCCTAATCCCTTTGATTTGTCATTGGTGCACCAGTCAAGAACAGCAGTCCCTGGTTTGGGCCTCTGGGACTTGCCAGGTAGTGGCTCAGTCCCTCTTCAGTTGTACACTCACAGGTTCTGTCTGCCTCTGTCCTTCACACAGGTGGTGTTGCCCACATTTATTCTGGAGAAGCGCTCCTTGCTGGAAATGTATGCAGACTTCATGGCACACCCCGACTTGCTGCTGGCCATCACTGCTGGGGCCACACCAGAGGAAAGAGTCATAAGCTTCGTAGAGTACTATCTTACAGCCTTCCATGAGGGGCGCAAAGGTGCCCTGGCCAAGAAGCCCTACAACCCCATCATTGGTGAGAACTTTCATTGCTCCTGGGAGGTTCCCAAGGACAAAGTCAAGTCAAGGAGGACTCCTTCCCAGTCTCCTGTTGGCTTTCATGAGCACCCAATGGCCAAGGATCCATCCAAAAGCTATAAACTCAGATTTGTGGCTGAGCAGGTGTCCCATCACCCGCCCATCTCCTGTTTCTATTGTGAGTGCAAAGAGAAGAGACTGTGTGTCAACACTCATGTATGGACCAAAAGCAAGTTCATGGGCATGTCCGTGGGGGTCTCTATGATAGGGGAAGGTAAGCCAATATCATGTGTTGCGTTGGGCTCTTAGCCAGTTATGATAGTTGCATTTATGATAGATAATGGATAATTTTGTGCATGGATTTTTAATTTTGTTTTAGAAATGGATTGGTGGTGGGAAAGAAGGATGGATCTTAGACCAGGATGGTGATTTCCCACTAGTCTCAGGTGATGGATGAAGTGAGTCATACCTGCTGATTCCCACTGTGCTGGTGCACATACCAGCTTACAGAATCCTTATTCTTTAGGTGTTACATGAATATTAGGGTTGACTCTAAATCTGTGAAAACACATTATTTCTACCATCCTCATGGCCTATGAGTCAGAACATGGAATGGAATGAGGGATGTGTGTTAACATGGGTGTTCTGACTCACAGACCATGAGGATAACAACTGCCTGTTCAAAAGCTGCTCATAGGAATTCCCAGGATAAATCTTTTGACTCTGTGCTGGAACTTCTGAAGAGAGAATGGCCTGATCTCCCTACTGTTGGATTGTAGCTTCTTATTTTAGTGAAGAGGTGTGAATGCAGTTTGTTCACTGCATGAAGAAACCCCTCCTGATCCTTGTTAAGTCGAGTGTCTCCATTAGTAGGTCTTCAACTTTTTTGGAGCCAAAAAATTCCTTTGGGGCCTTAAGACTCTCCTCTCAGAAAGCAAAAGAGAAAAACCACAAAATTTTACTTTCAGCCTTTGGGAATATGTTGACTTCTTGAAAGTCCTTCCCAAATCCCATCCTGGGTACTTTTACTATGTACATTAAAATTTTTTATAACATTTACTTATCTATTTAGAGAGACAACTTGCAGAGTTTATTCTCTCCCTCCACCATGTAGGTTCGAAGGCTCAAACTCAGTCACTAATTAGGCTGGGTGCCAAGTGCCTTTATCACCTCAGCCGTCTCATTGACCTGGAAAGGCATACTTTTATTGAGTGCTTACTGGATGCTGGCTGGGTTTTGACCTAGGATCTAGGGACACTTGAGTAAAGAAAAGAGAAGAAAAGCCCACATAACCTCTGTAGCCATGTGAAGCTTCTAGTTTACTTCTGTCTGTTGGGGAAATAAATGAGTCATTTGTAGTCTGTGTTGGAAGAAGGCAAGTACCATAGAGAAAAAGAAGATAGGGTAAGGCCTGGGAGGAGGCCCGGTGAGCAAGTGGGCAGGCCTCTCTGAGAGGAGGATGTTGTCAGTGGCAGTAGGGTGTGCACCAGAGACACAGCTGCATGCTACCCGCAGCAGTCTGAGGAGTCCTTTCCAGAGACTTCTATTCAGGTGAAGCTGGGATTCTTGACTTCACTGAGGAACAAAGTTTCAGGTTGAACCAGTATTAAGCAGAGTTGGAGTTTTTTAATTCTAACCTAGATGTAAATATGGGGGAAGGGAAGTATTAGAAGAAGAGGTGTTCAGGGACAAGATAGTGCACGCCCACTGTGGTGGAGTTTCTTAGGAGAATTGTCCTCAGGTGCCTTAGCAACAGCCATCTGTGTTATTTTTGTGGTTTCTCTAACTATATCACAAAGAGTTACTAAGAAACTCCCCTACACCCCCCTTTTCCTCTCTTTCTGGTAAATAAGATCATAAGGTGGTTTCTGAGGGACCTTGAATAGGATTGCAGTCTGATAAGGTAAAACCATGCACCACAGAGGTTGAGCCAGAGGACTGGGACCTGGGACCTAACTTTTACTCTGAATGGAGTTGATAGTCTTGGGAGAGTCTTAGAAGGTTGTGGATTTACAGCTGCAAAAAGAATAAGGCCACTTATGCTTAGTCCTTCAGTATGAATTACTGTTATTATAACATTTAAAATTGTTTTAAAATTACATTTATGTGTGTATGCATGGGAATGTACATGTGACGGTCAGAGGACAACTTGACAGGACTCAGTTCTCTCCTACCATGTGGGCCCTAGAGATTGAACTTAGGTTCATTAGGCTTGGTGATAAACACCTTTATCCACTGAGACATCGTGCCACAAGTTTTAACACTTTTACTTGAGATATCTTTTAAGATTTATTTTTATTATGTATGTGTGTTTGTGTGTGTATGTATGTGTGTCTGTGTTTGTGAATACTATGTGTGAGGGGATCCCAGTGGCAGCCAGAAGAGCATGTTAAATCCCTTGAAATTGGACTTGTAGGCAGTTGTAAGCCACCTGACGTAGTTGCTGGGGACTGAACTTCTAGTCCCCTGGAAGTGCTCTTAACCTCTGAGCCATCTTTCCAGTCCCTGAAATATTTTTATAGAAAAGGAATGTTGTCTCTATGTAAACAACTTTCATAGCAAAGTTAATTGTGCTGGGATCCTTGACTCTCAGTTGGAGGGAGACTTTAACCAGACTCTGGCATGAGGGCCTCCTTTCCCATCCCATGCCTCATTTTCCCTATCTATCCTGCCTCCCCATTGATCAGAGACAGGAGGGATCAACCAGAATAGTATATAAAGCAGCCAGAACAAGACAGGGGCCAAGGGCAGGATGGTGCCCACGTGCTGGTGGAAAGAAGGAAGCCCTGTGGTCAGAGAAGGGTAAGCCAGTGACTGAAAGGTGAGGTCAGAGCTGGGGCTGAGACTGAATCATGGAGGGCCAAGGGTCATTGCTAGGGATATGGACTCCTATGCTGAGTGAACAGCAAAGCCCTGTGCTTGGCTCAGTTGATTTTGGGTCTGTGACAAGGCAGAAGGGATCACGGGTTGGAGCAAAGCTGCCCTGGGAAGCAAAGAGACAGGAAGGGGCTAGAGTCTCACTATTGCCTTCAAAAAGAGGCCTCTAGTGGCCTCACTCCTCCCATCAGCCCCCCTGTCCCCAAAGGTTCCACTGTCTCCTAATAGAGTCACAGGTTTCAACTAAACCTAAAGGGAGGCTTTGGGGGCCATTGAAGGTCCAAACTGAAACATCCCAGCAGTGTTCTGAGTTGCTTTTGGAGACAGAATTTTTCTTTGCAGTGCTGGCTGCCCTGGTACTTACTGTGTAGCATAGGCTGGTCCTGCATTCTCTGTAGGTCTCCTTTACTGTCCCAAGCACTGGGATTATAGGCTTGAATCTCCATGTCTGGCTTTTTACTGAGGTTTATTATTATTATTCTTATATTGTGTGTGTGTGTGTGTGTGTGTGTGTACATTCAGGCCGTGATATACATATACGTGTGGAGGTCAGAGACCAGCTTGCAGGAGTTGATTCTCTCCTTTCACAATGGGCACCCCAGGGACTGAACTCATGCTGTCATGTTGACAGCAGGCACCCTTGCCTGCTGAGCCATTTCTCTGGCCCTCACTGAGGTTTTTGTCATGAACATGGAAGCATGTATAGCCATTCACTGAGCAGCGGAGAGGACTGAGAATCTTCACCTGGGAGTGACTGTGGAAGAATGTGGGGTCTCTGTCTCATCTGAATTAGATGACCAAGTGGGATGCTCCTATGGACAGCCGTATACACATGCTACAGTTCAGGGAGTACCTGGTCAAGGTAAAAACTCGCAGTTTAAAGACCTCAGGGCCAATTAGCTTGAATGAACCCTGGTCCCTGCCACCCTCCTGCAGGGAGAGGTTCAGAAGGCATTAACACTCAGCCAGGGAAGCCAAGAGCAGCAGGTGCATATTGGGGGTCGTGTGCCCAGAGACAGAGCCACAGAAGGGTGCCACAGTAGGAGGAGTGGGCAGCTGTGGCAGGCCGTGCAAGTCAACTCCATGAAGATAGGACGCAACTGTTGGTGTCTGGTGCTGGAGGTCACGGGTCACCTGGAGGGTTGTTGCCTGTGGCACTATTCCTGTATAGATCCATTCAAGGGAATCCATTCAAGAGGGAACCAGGGAGGGTCAACACAGCCAGCTCTTCTGTTTGATATAGGTGCACTGTTGAGGAAGAATCAGAAGTGAGTGTAGGGCAGCCTGCTTGTGATCACCCATCCCGCAGACTACTTGAGTTTGCAACCTTTGGCTCTGGATAGGAAGTCAGAACTGAGAAGTTTCCAGTAGGTCCCCAAGGTCACAGGATCAGGACCATGCGATGGGGTGACCAGGCGAGGAAAGAATGGTGGCTGGTGTGGACTCCTTAAGGTCCCTGACAAGGCACAGGCAGCGCTGCCAAGGCCTGTCTTAGAGGGGTGGAAGGTCAGGCATTTCCTCACAAGTCTGTCCTCAGAACCCAGTCATGGCTCCTCCTTCTGAGCTCAGCCTTCTCCCCAGGTGCAGGGCAGAGTGCCACCCTGGTGATGTCTCTTGATAAAGCCAAGTGTGGTATTTTCTAGTGTATAGGAAAAAATTCTTCACCCTCGCAGGAGTGCTTGTTGTTAACCATCAAGACCTGGGAAAAGGAGGTTTGACGTTTGTGTTGTGTGTGGGGCGGTGTGCATTCATGTGTATGAGTGCATGTGTGTACGAGTGCATGACGTGCATGTGTATTTGTGTGTGAATGCAGGTGCATATGTGGAAGTCAGGACTACACTGGGTGTTGGTCCTTGCCTTCCACTTTGTTTGAGTCAAGATCTTCCTTTGTTTGTTGCTGTGGACTCCAGGCTAGCTGGTCTGCTGTCTCCTGTAGGCATGATGGGATGACAGGCAGCTACCATGCTCAACTTTTACATGGATTCTAGGCATATGAACTCAGATCCTCATACTTAAACAACAAAATGCTTTACCCACTGAGCCATCTCCCTAGCCAGAATAACTAGATTTTTAAACTGGAGTATAGGGCATATATCTCCTAGTTTTTTAGTTCCTAGTGGGGATTCATGGTGTTTGCTGGGGATTTTCAGCACGATATAGATTTTTACATCTGACTTTGTGACCCAAGAGATCCTTTACTCTCAGAAGTCAAATCTATACCACACCCTATGCCCAGAATGCATTCCCTGGAACTGGAGTTATAGATTGTCATTAGCCATGTGTGGGTGCTGGGAACTGAATCCAGGTTCTCTACAAGAGCAGTCAGGCTCTTAATTGCTGAGCCATTTCTCTAGCCCCCACAGATTTAGCCTTAATCTATCTGTTTGAAATTCTCAATACTGGCCTTGTTCCTTGGTAAATCAACTTGTGAAATTTCAAATGAGAATCTCCCAGCCTGAAGACGAACCCTCAACATGATTGATTATGGGCAGCTTTTTAGTTTCTCTCAGTTCTCAAGCCAAATGAAGAAATAACTTTCATTTGCCATGCCCTTATAAACTCTAATTTTAATAAAGCCACTGTTCATATTAAGGGTAGATTTTTAAATGTAATCCTGATGTAAAAAGGGTTAGTATAGCACAGGTGACTGGGTGAATGAACACACATTGAGGGATATTAGAAAGTGATTTCTCGATGGGCATCCTGGCACAGGCCTTTAATCCCAGCACTTGGGAGGCAGAGGTAGGCGGATCCCTGTGAGTTTGAAGCCGGCCTGGTCTACATAGCAAGTTCCAGGCCAGCTGGGTTTACAAAGAGTTCTTGTCTCAAAAAAAAAAAAAAAAAAAAAAAAAGGAAAGGAAAGAAAGTGATTTCTCCAAACCACATACAGTGATGCAAACCTTTAGTCCCAGCATTTAGGAGAATCCCTGTAAGTGCAAGGCCAACCTGAGCTGTGTAGTGAGTTCCAGGCCAGCCATGGTCACATGGTGATACCCAGGCTTAGAAAAGAGAAAAGAAAAAAAGGAAGTAAGTCCTTCAGTGCCTTTCATCAGCTTAGCTTTGGGGCTCACTGACTTCTGAGGACTGGGGAACTCAAAGAGCTCTTTCTGTGGGGAGTAAAAAGGAGGATGGTGGCCTGCCTAAGGGGAAGCATTGTGTTTAAGAAATTTCTTCATGGGGCTAGAGAGATGGCTCAGCGGTTAAGAACACTGGTTGGTCTTGCAGAAGACCCGGGTTCAAATCCCAGCACCCACATGGCAGCTAACAGCTGTCCGTAACTCCAGTTCCAGGTGATCCGAAAGTCTCTTCTGTCCTCTGTGGGCATTGCATGACACGGGTGCACTTATCTACACGCAGACAATGCACACACACACACACACACACATATATATATATATATATAAATTTCTTCACCTGTCATATGCATAGCCCAGTACCAGACTTGAGGATGGCTCTTTCTTTCTAAATGCCAATGTCCCTTGTTAATGACCTACCTGGAGAGTCACTGGAGAGTGATTTGGCAGGCTGAAGACCTTTAGGGTTATGACTCTATGGCAGGCTGCTGTTGACTGACATTTTTTGTTGTTGTTGTTTTCCTTTGTGTTTTAGACTGGATTTATTACATAGTCTGACTGGCCTGAAATTTGCTATGTGTAGACTAGTCTGGCCTTGAACTCATAGAATTCTGCTTGTCTCTGCCTCCCGAGTGCTGGGGTTAAAGGTATTACAACCAGGAGTTAGTTGACTTTTAAAATCACTTTTTTCTGTCTTTATTATCATTCTGTAAGATACATACCCCATTATCTGTGTGTCATGGACGAAGAAACTGAGGCACACAGATTCGGCATGCTAAGTGACAGAGGTGCAAGTGGGAAGTGCTACATCCCCATTCTGTACACGTCATCTGTGTTGTTTTCTATCCCCTATCCTCCATCCTGTCACTTGTCCTTCCATCAGCTTCCAAGAGCAGGTGTTCTGATGCAGTTCCCTGCATAAGGCCAGCCTCTTACTGTGCTGCTGAGGCAAGGCTGGTCCCTTGCTACTCTGTCCGGCCTCTGCATCTGTACACCCCACTCTCCTCAAACACAATCCTTTTGTCCCTTCCCACCACAGGGTCTTTGCATATGCTGTTCGCTGCATCTTCTCATCTGTTCCCCAGCTCAAGTGTCCCTTCCTGGGGGAGACCTTCCTTTTCCAGGTTGGCACTGGTCACCTCTCCCTTACTGCCTTGACACACAGTGGTGTGTCTGTTCAGTGCTTAGCTAATGTTCACCCCAGTGGCAGAAAGTGGGGCTGCCTTGCTCATGGTATGTTCTAGAACTCTGCATGGTGCAGGCAGCAGAGCACAGAGCAATAGTCAGTGAGCTCAATGGAGGTAGGAGGTATGATGTTTGCTGCAGGACTCTTGGGTCCCTCACAGTCCCTTTCCTGTTCTGACCTGACTCTCCTCTCTCCCTGGAGGTATACTACGGCTCCTGGATTATGGGGAAGAATACATCTTCACCCTGCCTAGTGCCTACGCCCGCTCCATCCTCACTGTCCCATGGGTGGAGCTAGGAGGGAAGGTCAACATCAGCTGTGCCAAGACTGGTTACTCCGCCACAGTGATATTCCACACAAAGCCCTTCTATGGTGGAAAGGTTCACAGGTAGGAAGTGGCCAGGACACTGGCTGTGTTTCTCTCTGTGTCTGAGTTCCCTTGACCTTTGAAGATTTTACTTATATTTCATGTGTTTACCTGCATATATGTAAGTGCATCATATGTGTGCAGTGCCCACAGAAGCCAGAAGAGAGCACTGGTTCCCTTGGAACTGGAGTTACAGGTGGTTGTTGCCATGTGGGTGCTGGAAACCAAACCTGGGTCCTCACCAAGAACAGCTCTTACTGCTGAGCTGCCTCTCCAGCCCCTCCCTTGATCATTGAGAAGGAACCAGGTGTGGTGGGCACACCTGTAATTTTTAAAAAAATATTTTATTTATTATTTTTATTTTATGGTTATGAGTGTATTGCCTGCATATATGTGAGTGTACCCATGTCGTGCAATGCTGCAGAGATCAGAAGAGGGCTTTGGAGTCCCCTGGAACTGGAGTTAAGGACGTTTTGTAGCTTCCGTGTGGGTGCTGGGAATCGAGCCTGGGTCCTTTTCAAGAGCAGTCAGTGTTCTTAACCACTGAGCCATCTCTCCAGCCCCACACCTGTAATCTTAAACTTAGGGGCAAAAAGAGGAGGCTCAGAAGTTCAAGGTCAACCTTGGGTAGATAGGCTAGCCTAGGCTACATGAGACTCTGCCTCAAAGCAACAACAACAACAATAAAAGATTGAGTTCTAGCCAGGCATAATTGTCACATATCTATAAGCCCAGCCTTCTGGAGGCAGACGAATCTCAAGTTCCAAGCCAGCCTGGGCTACACAATAAACTCCAGGCTAGCTTGGGTAACATAGTGAGACCCTGTCTCAGAATACCAAAAGCTGGGGGGCATAGCTCAATGGTACAGTGTTTGCATAACATGCACAAATCCCTGAGTTTGATCCCCAGCACTACCCACCCTAGGAAAAAATGGAGTTTCAGTGATGGAGGTGACAAGATAAACTGTCTTCCGTTCTTTTCTTTCTTTTTAATACAAGGTCTAGGTATTTATTCCTGGCCTGCCTCAGTCTTCTTAGATACTCCTACCTCAGCCTCCTGAGTGCTGGGATTAAAGGTGTGAGCCAATACACAGAGCTCCAACTTCCTGTTCTGATAAAAGGATATTTTTTTATTTTTATTTTTAGGCGTGTGAGTGTTTTGCCTGCATGTTAGTGCATCCATATCATGTAATGCTGGGGGCCAGTGTTGGGTCCCCTGGACCTGGAATTTCGGACCTTTGTTAACCTCCATGTGGGCTGGGAACCAAACCCAGGTCCTCTGTAAGAGCAGCCAATGCTCTTAACTGCTGAGCCATCTCTCCAGCCCCTGATCAAGGATACTAGATCATATTTTAAGACCTAGTCTTTGAGTCAGACTGCAAAAATAATTCATTCTCCTTAAACCTCCTTAAAAAAAAATTTATGAATGGGAGTTCCCTTTTTGATTCATTTGATTTGTTCATTCAGAGTCACAGCTGAAGTAAAACACAATCCAACCAACACCATTGTCTGCAAAGCACACGGGGAATGGAATGGGACCCTGGAGTTCACCTACAGCAATGGGGAGACCAAAGTCATCGACACAACCACCCTGTCTGTGTATCCTAAGAAGATCAGACCTTTGGAGAAGCAGGGGCCCATGGAGTCCAGGTGTGTCTGCCCAGCTCCTTGATCTTGTCTGAGGGATAGACAGGAAGCTTCAGAAGCAAGGTTAATGGCAGAGGGCTGGGGACCACTTTCGTCCGCCATTTGAATTTCCCCCGTGTGTCTGTTAGGGGGACAGGCCCACGTAGCTGTCAGTTGGGTGGTTCTGCAGTGTGAGTGGACTGTCACTGTAGTCTGGCAGACTTGTACTGCCTATCTTGAAAAAGCTTGTCAATGCTTGTAAAATCAACCACAGAAAGTTGCTTGTAATGGAAAGAACTGTGCAGGGAAGCACATAAATAGGATTTTTTCCTTGCTAGAGTAGCAATGTTGTTTTTAAAATATTCAATGTTTGCTGGGCATGGTGGTGCAGGCCTTTAATCCAAGCACTCAGGAAGTGACAGTAGGTGGATCTCTGTGAGTTCAAGGCCATCCTGGTCTTCATAGAGAGTTCTAGGTCAGCCAGGGATATATATAGTAAGACCCTGTCTCAAAAAATATCAATGATGGCAAGGAGGTAGTAAAGCTGATACCATACTTCCTGTCCTGGTGCAACTTACCTGCAGGGGTCAGTAGATTCAAACTCATAAATTGACCTTAATCTTGTATTCTATTTCTGGGGACTCCCCCATCTGTTGTCATAGAAAATTCCTAAGTTCGGAAAAGATTTTAAATACAGACTTTATTTTTGTCTTGAGAAAGCAACAGAAGTTAGAGAAACCACCTATCTGACCAACATTTAGAAAATGGTTAAGTAAATTATGGAATATCCATTCAACTATGATATGAATATCATGCAGCCACTGAAAGTGATGTGAATGCAGGTCCACAAGCAGAGTGTTCTTGGGGTGTGCCATTCTTATTTCAATCTAGGCCGTCAGCTAACAGTGGCCTGTGAGTCTAATCTCAGCCCTGGCTTAACTAATTTTTTTGTCTCTCTCCTTTCTCTCTCTCTCTCTTTCTCTCTCTCTCTCTTATCTATCTATCTGTCTATCTATCTATCTATCTATCTATCTATCTATCATCTATCATCTAGCTAGCTATCATCTATCTGTCTATCTATCTATCTATCATCTATCATCTAGCTAGCTATCATCTATCTGTCTATCATCTATCTATCTATCATCTATCTATCTATCTATCTATCTATCTATCTATCTATCTATCATCATGTTAATGTGTATCTGTGTGGGTGTAGACATGCCACAGTACATGGGTGAAGGTCAGAGGACAGCCATGGGAGTCAGCTATCCCCTTCTACCCTGTGGGTTCTGGGGATCAAACTCAGGTCATCAGGCTTGGTGGCAAACACCTTTACCTGCTAAACCATCTTGTCAGCCCCCTGGGTGATTTATTTAAATAAAATTCTATTGAAGAACAGCCATGATCATTCATGGCTGTGCATAGTTCTTGGTGGTTTACGGCTGCCTCCTCGCTGTAGCAGTAGAGTTTAGATGCAACCAAGACCACGTGGCTTGCAATACCAACAAGATTTACTGTGTGACCCTTTATGGATAATGTTCACCAACCCCTACTTTAATCTGAAAGTCTGCAGCTCTTTATAAATGAGGTAGGATTCAAATAAAATTTCATTTGATTTTCTGGAAGGAATTTGCTGGAACTGGAAGATCATGGAGCTGGATGGTAGACATGCTTACTGAGTGGAAACTAAGCAGGGTTACAGCATTGTGTGTGTCGATAATACATTAGAGCCTGGTTTAAACAGACCTTCAGCACCCCTGGCACCTTTGGTAGGCTGGAGGACTAGTACTCTCCTCCTGGTTAATGTGAGACCAGTAAATACAACTTCTCTGTGTTGACATGGAAGGCATGAACTCTTCCCAGGAGTCTTTTCCATCTCTGTCTGTGGATGGTGGCAGTGGGAAATGAGAAAGACTACCATAGGGAGGGGAACCCATCACCTGGCCCTACTGCCTCTGGCAGACATTCCCAGGATGAGGGCCCTTGAGAGTCCATCATGGTATGACGTGTTCCCAGTCTGGTCATTGAGAACGCAGCTTGGATTCCCTGCTACTGTTCTTCAGGGACATCAACAGCTTAGCTCCTTCTCTTTCAGATTCTACTACCCTGCAAGTACCTCTGGGTATTTGGAATCTGACCCGGAACGGGGAGGAAATCTGATGCTAGTTAGAAAGAGGGTGCTGCCCCCCCCCCACATATGGACTTGGTTGAAACACAGATGCTAGCTAGGCATGGTGGTGCATGCCTGTAATCTCAGCATTCAGGAGGCTAAGGCAAGAGATCAAATTCAAAGCCAGCCTGGGCTTACAAAGTAAGACTCTGTCTCAAAAAACAATAAAAAAGAATACAGAGCTGGCTATATAGAAACTGAGCCTACCCACTGCTCTTCTGCAGAGGGATTAGCCTTGAGATGTGGAGCAGCTGGTCCCAGTGCTCCCTTGCTGCTCAGCACGCCTGTCCCCACTGTCCCTGATGGGTCCCTGAGCAGAGACAGAGCAGGGACCATCAGCATAACTAATCTCATTTTTCTCAGCTTCACTGGGATGCCAGCCCTAGCAAGGCCTCTAGTCCAGCCAGTTGCCTTGGAATGACGATCCCAGTGGGAGTGGAGTGAACACTTTGCTGTCCACCCACCCTGTACCTCTGCTCCAGACGACCAGAATGTGGTCTGAGAGGAGGTTATGTGTTGGTCAAGGCCCACAGGTCTGAGGCCAGGGATGCTATCCCTACCCTGCCTCACCCAGTGCCATTCTGACACCCCTCCTGGGGATATCCTGAGTCACTTTTTTTTTCTTTCTGACTTACTCCCATCCTTCCACTCTGGTTTCCTCCATCTCTTCCCTCTCTTTAGCTTGGCATTCAGAGCTCTACTTAGTTCTCTGTTCCTCCATACTCAGTGATGATGGGCTGGGTTCCTGTGTTTGCCTGGGTATTATCTGTGGGGCCAGATTTTGCCCTATCAGCCCCTCTCCTTGGGGAGAGGCTGTGTATCTGCTCTCTAAACATGGGCCACTGTGCTTTCAGGGATGTACCACGGGTGGTCCTGTTGAAGGGGGATTCTACCCGGCTGTCCTTTTGTCCATTTCTCCCCTCAGTACTCATGCTGATTAAAGAGAAAGTGTGGGGGGGTGGGTTTGACCCAACACCCACCCTTGGGGACCCCTTAGCTCACATCACTATTTTGCCCAAGCTTCCTTGTTTTCTTTTTTAATCTGTAATGCTGGGGATGAAAAGTAGGGCCTCTTGCATGCTAGGTAACACTACCACAGAATTACACCCCTCAGTGCAATTCTTTTTTAAACTGACGCAGTCCCTATACAGATCTGGAGGATTAAGTGTGATCATCTGATACATGTATAATAAATCTGGTAAATTAGCATTTCTTCTCAACACAACAAATTAGCATTTGTTGAGAAGCTTTTATCGCCTCTTCTTTCTGTTCTGTGTGTTTTTTAAGCCTTCTGAGGGTGTTTTTAAAATATATATTTCACACACACATGTTTTCTTTTTTGTTTGTTTGTTTTTTTGACAAGGTCTCCCTGTAACTCCAGCTGGCCTGGAGCTCACTATGTAGACTAGGCTGGCCTCCATCTCATAGAGATCTGCCTCCCTCTGCCTCCCAAGTGCTGGGATTAAAATTGTGTACCACCACACTTGGCTCTAATATACTATTTTTTATTAATTCTTTGAGAATTTCATATACAGTGTATTTTCTCATATTCACCCCCTACTTCTCCACCTAACTCCTCCAACATCTACCCCCTCCTCCTCACCCTGTCCCCAATTTTATGTCTCTCTTTTTTTTAATAACCCACCAAGTTCAGTTTATATTGCGAGTATACTCATGGGTGTGGGGCCATCCACTGGACCAGGGGCCACACCCTTAGAAAACTGACTCTCCCTCCCCCAGAAGCTTTCAACTGTCTATAGCCCCTCAGTTAGTGGTAGGGGCTCATGCCCCCCTTTCCATTCCATGCTGAAATGTTGCTTGGCTTGATCTCATGCAGATAGCCATAGCTGCTGTGAGTTCATGATGCAGTGGTCTGCCCTGTCCAGAAGACCCTGTTTCACTCCTGTCTTACCCGACCTCTGGCTCTTAACAATCTTTCTGACCCCTTTCCATGATGGTTCTGAGTCTTAGTGGGGTAACTCTTCTTTGTAGTTCTTTATGAAATACTCAACTGAACTATCATCACCCTGCAGTCTTGCAGAGCACTAGAACTTACTCTTCCCCCTCCTTCACTCCTTTACCCCCCTCTCCTGTACCCTTTCCTGTCTCTAGTGATCTAGTTTACTCTCTCCTGTGACATCAGCTTATTAGCTTCCATGTATTGGTGAGAACACACAATTTGGCCTTCTGAACTGGCTTGTTTAACTTAGCAAAACATCCTTAGATTCCATCCATATAGTCACAAATGGATTCTGTTCTTTGTCAGGGCTGAAGAGTATTCTGTTGTGTAGATGGGCCCCATCTATCTACCCTGATCGTCAGGGTGGACCTGGCCATTGGGGTGACAAAGTCACCAGGGCGGGAGAGGCAGCTCTCCGTAGAAGTCCAGGCAGAGGTTTTTCTCTTAAATTAGGCACCAGGGCATGAGTAAGAAATAGCAAGGGCTGAGGTTGGTCAGACCCGGCTTCCTGTCCCAACTCCAAAAAGCTCATCTTGCTGTGGAATGGGAGCCAGATCATGCTGTCTGGATCCCCATCGGGTGGGACTCAGGGTGGGGCTGATGGGAAGGGGAGTTGACAGTAGCTCAGAAGGTACTGCTCCTTGTTCCAGATTTGCTGGGAGCCCTACTGCCCTTCCTGGCTTTATGAGGCCACAGACAGAGCACCTTACTGCCACTCTTAGACTCTGGGCAGGACTGAGGCTTCACTGCAGAAGTCCATCTGATGATCTTTGCTTGTTCCTGGGTACAGACATCCCAACTTCCCAGAAGTCAGGGCAAGGTTTCCATGCCATTGGCCATTCTGCTGGTCCTTTGTGTGAAGCCACACAAAAGGAGTTGGGGCACAAAGCCAGGCCTGTCAGGCTTCAGAGCCCGTGCTCTTTCTCCTGTGTGAGTAGGTGGGGGCTTGCCTGGGTGATGCTGTTTAGCAGCATCAAGGCTGGTCCCTGGGAGGAAAGTGGGAGTGGAAAGCATCAAGTTAGGCCAGGCTAAGGTGGCTGCCAAAGGAGGGAGGCAGAGAGATACAGGCGTAGAGGGACCGGAAGTGAGTTCCACGCCGTAAACGTGTGCACAGATACCCAGCATCTCAGCCCAGTCTTCATCTTTCTGTTCTTCGTCCACCTTGTCCCCCAAGTTCTCTATGGAAGCAAACACTGCTCATAGTACCATCTTGGTGGATCTGGGTGAGTTAGTCGGGCTCATGTGACCTTAGTTTCTCTGCAAAATGAAGTTGCTAATAATATAGGCACATGTGCCGTAGGCTCAGGATTAAATGAGCATCTGTGTCTAAGATGCTTAGAGTGTGCCTGAGAGCCATGCATGCCTGCTGTCCCTGGTGGTGATGGTGGTAGTGGTACTCTGCCAGCTACTTCAGGAAGCTTCCATCTCTCTAGAGACTCAGAACCTGAGGAAGTCTTGCTATTTGGGACAGGTAGAGTATGGAGGCAGCAGAGAGATGTGTAAAAAAGTAGCCTGGTCCACCCCTGGCCCTCGTGTTTCAAGATGCCTGGACTTCTGCGGAGAGCTGCCTCTCCTGCCCTGGTGACTGTGTCACCCCAATGGCCAGGTCCACCCTGACGGTTTCCTTTACTGCCTGTGTCCCCAGGAAACTCTGGCAGGATGTTACCCGCTACCTGCGGATGGGGGACATTGACAAAGCCACCGAGCAGAAGCGGCGCCTGGAGGAGAAGCAGCGGGTGGAAGAGCGGAAACGGGAGTCTCTTCGAAAGCCGTGGCGGCCCAAATACTTCATTCCAGAGGTAATGCTGGCCTGCTGCTGGGCTCTGGCCCTGAGTGAAGGGCAGCTCAGCTTTCCTTGCTACCAAGGGAGTTGGATGAAAGGGGCCAGATAGGGCCAGGGAGGCCCTGGGTGGATCAGGGGCAGTGTGGCTCCAGCTGTGAGTTATGGTTTCTGCAGTGTTTCTGATAAGGTCTTTAGGCATCACAGCATCTTGAAGGTAATTAGGCAGCTGACTCTTCCCCTGTAGTGTTTTCCTCCATCTGAAAACCTCCCTGGACTGCTAGGCAGGGAAGGAGGGGATCGAAGATCTGGTTACTCCATTCTATCACTAGTCACATTTAGCTGGGAGGCCTCCACAGCCCCTCTCCACATCTGGGTTGCCTGGAAGCCTCCTCATTGAGAACTGCCACAGCAGGAGACTTCCTGTGGGCTACATGAGATGGACATGCCAGGTAAGCCCAACAAAGCTCTCTGTCTGAAATGTTGCTTCTGTCCCCAGACAAGTAGTGATGGTAGCAGAAACCATATCCATGACTGTCCTCATACCAGGAAAGTGGGCATGGTGCTTTGGGCCCAGCTGAGGCTTTTGGGCTCTTGGGGTTTGTCTTAGTTTCATTTCCTATTGCTGTGATCAAATACCCTTGACAAAAGCAACTTAAGGGAGAAAACGTTATTACATTCATGATTCCAGGTTACAGTCCATCACCATGAGAAAGTCAAGGTGGCAGGAACTTGAAGCAGCTGGTCACATCACATCCACAGTCAAGAGTGGAGAGCAATGAATTAATGTAGCACACCAGTGCTCAGCTTGCTTTCTCCACTCTTAGTTCAGGACCCCCTGCTTAGGGAATGGTGCTGCCCACACCATTCCTCCCACCTCAGTCCTGGGGAAAGACTCCTGCAGGTCCTCCCACCTCAATTAACATAATCAAGACAGTACCCCACAGCCACAGCTATAGGCCAACCTAACCGATCACTGAGGCTCCCTTCACAGGTGATTGATTCTAGATTTAATCGGCAAGTTGACAATTAAAACTATCACAGGGTTGTTTAAAAAGCAATGAGTGGAAAGGGTTGAGGATGTAGATCAGTTAGTAGAGAGCTTATGCAGCATGCACAGAGCCCTGGACTCAATCCCCAACACCACATAAACCTAGTGTGGTGGTATACGTCTGTAATTCTAGCATTTGGGAGGTGAAGCCAGGAGGATCAGGAGTTCAAGGTCATCCTTAGCTACACAGTTTGTCTGATGACATGGAGAAAAAAAGTCAGTGAGGAATGGACAGGTGGGAGAGTGTTATCTCAGGGATGCTGATCCCATCCAGATCATAGATGATTAGATTCATTGTGAGGAACCAGGACTCTGAGTTTTTTAATGACTATTTTGATATCTGCATAGTGCCAAAGTTAGAAAAATTTAAATGATAAGAGCCAATCAGAACGTGTCAATGGACACAGGTGCTGCTAATCTCTGACTCTTCCTGTGAGGATTGGTTGTGTCTGGACATCAGCTGTGGGAGGGACGTCTCATCCACAGCGAGCAGTTGCAGAAGTAAGTTAGAAGCTCAGGCTATGGACAGGCAGGTTGGATTTCAAGGCTGGACTTGGGTTCAGGCCGGAAGGTACTTAATGAGACTGCCTTGATGGGTCATTGACTGGGACCCCTATATGGGAGCCTCCCCCAGATGATGTAAATACTCAAAGAAGCCTTCTTCAATGTGAGTGCTGTTCTCTGAGCCAGTGTGCCTGACTTCGGTGGAAAGTTGTTCATTAAAGGACAACAAGCATCACTTGGAGTTTTGTCCCGGAGATTTGATAAAAGCCAGGACATCTGTAACGAGGCTTGGGCCTCAGAAGAATAAAAATCGCCCTTACACCAGGATGCTTAGCTTCTACTAAGTACTTCCTTGAGGTGTGGTACCTCAAGGAAGGTGGATGCCATTTTGAGTTTTGCCTTTTCCTCACCTGGTGGCTGAGGGGTGGTGGTCTTTCTATGGTGTCCTTTGATGCACTATGACTGCTACTGCCAAAGACTGTCACCTCAGGTGTGTGGGCTGTCCAGTCACTGGTGTGGCAAGTTCTGCGTGCACGCCCCCTTGCTGTTTCTTTCGGCTCTCGGGTCACCTAGCTGCCCTTTTTCTCTTGTACCGCCATCGCAAAGTGCTATTTTTGCCAAGTCATCTTTGATGTAAGTCATCAAGACCTCTGTTATTTTGGTCATTTCCTAGGTCTTCGTTTTGGTTTTTGGTGGTGGTGGTTCTTGGTTTTGAGATAGGGTCTCTCTGAGTAGCACTAGATGGGCTGTAACTTGCTATGTCGAACAGACTGGCTTGGAACTCACAGAGATCTGTGTGCCTCTGCCTTCTGAGTGCTGGGATTAAAGGCTTACACCACCACCCCTGGTTCCTGAAGCTTCTTCTTTCTGTTTTTGTTTTGAGACAAGCTCTTCCTGTAGCCCCAGCTGGCCTGGAACTCGCTACATAGACCAGGCTGGCCTTGATCTCACAGAGATCCAACTGCCTCTGCCTCCCAAGTGCTAGGATTAAAGATGAACACCACACCTGGCTTTGGGGCTTCCTTTTTTTTTTTTTTTTTTTTTTTTGTTTTTTTTGAACAGGGT